GACTTTGGTTTTTAAGACTATCTAGAAGACCTCTAAGATAGCTTAGAAATAGGCCTTGCGGGTATAATCATGAGTATTCGGTGGCCTGGGTTAAAACGTACGTACGGGATCTACAAACCAAACTTGAGGCACTCGTTTGGGGATACCACCCAACCCGACAGTGAGCATTTCGGATCCGCTGTTCGGTTTTTGGATGACCTTAATCAAAGGTAAGTTTAAGATTTTGAAAACCTTTTTTGAAAATTTATATCTTAAACTAGGCCTAGCTTAAGGGTTAGATAAGAGTACCTTAAACTTGAATATAGTTTAACTATGTTAGACTAGAATTCGTTTAAGAGTTGGTAAACATCAAATAGATTGGCCTTAGACTAAGAATAGTTTAAGGATATTGTTGAATGACAAATGATGAATATTGTATGATGTATGTTGAATAAAAATGTTGAATATGAATGATGAATAAACATAATGAATATTGATTATTGAATATCTAAACTGAACATTATGTGCATGATATCAAATGGTTGATTATGAATTGAGATTCAATTTATGTGGATGTTCGACGCATTAGATATGCTTACTCAGCTTTACCGCTGAGCGTGTAGTGTGTTTTATTTGCTACACGCAGGTCAATAGAATGATGTGATGTGATCCTGGAGGCAGACGGAGGCGAGATAGTCAGAATGGATGTGATGGTTTTGAATTAAAGAATATAAATAAATTATGTTTGTGGTTATAATTTGTTAAGCTTCCGCAATATTGAAAACTCTGTACTGTTCATGATATGAAAAATATTATTATAATAAATAAAAGTGTTTGAAAAGTTTTAAATTTTACGATTACCAAGTTAATACTTTAGTCCGAAAGGGGCTGCAGACCTGGACGGATTAGGGTGTTACATGGGGTATACCTTTAATGTACCCCTAGCATTTTTCATACGAGAAACATGATCGGGGCAATTACCAATTTACCCATGGGTGGCCCGGTATGCAAAGTGGCCAACTGTACTGGCCCCTAAAATTTTAGTGCCCCATATTTTTGAAGTTGTTAATAATTTTAAAGCAAAAATATTTTAAAAAAATAAAATAGGGTACAAAATGTAGATTTTGGACCGGGTTAATTTTTTTTTTTTTCATTTTTCGGGGTCCGCCCTGATTATTTAGCTATTTACCATTGATAGTATCTTCTTCAAAACAACTATAAGGTGGTATTTTGGGAACAAATATTTTATTGAGTAAAATTCTCAATGATCTTTTGTAATAAGATATTTTCTCAATTCAGTGTTTAATAATTTCTAATCACCTATGTAGTTTTTTATAATTGAGATTTATTCTTTATGTAATCCTTTATAAATAATGTTATTCAAATGATGATTAATTAAAATGTATTTTAGAATTTTTTTATCATCCAAATTTAAAATATATTCTCAAAATGATCATTTCTTTACAATTAAATACTCCCTCTGTCCGGGAATAAACTTCCTATTTTGACTTTTCCTCATTTTGACTATGGGTGTAAATTCTCTAAAATACCCCTCTCTCCTTCCTTTCCTAGCCCTGCCCCTGCCACCATCAAATCCCCACCACCGCCTCTTCCGTGGCCCCTCTCCTCCTCGCCGCCAGCGCCGCCGTTGCCGTCAGCTCCACCATCGATCCATTCTCCGACCATCTCCACCATCCCCCTCCACCATAATTGCTCCAGTCCCATCATCACCGCTATAGCCCTACCATTAGATATCAAAGAAATAAAGAATGATGAGAAAGAAATTTTAGATCTCAAAGAAATTAAGAAGAAAAGGAGAAGAAGTGGAGATCTAGACTCACGTCGCCACCATCGCTGCCAAGCTCGGATCATTCCAAGCTCGGATCTGGAAGAAGAAATAAGCTCGGATCTGGAAGGAGATAAAGAAGGGAAAAGATGAAGGGGGAAAAGTGAAGAAGGGGAGATGACGAAGGAAGAGGGAGGAGGAGAAATAAGAAAAGTAAAAAGAAGAAAAAGTGGAAGAGAGGAGAAACGGCAGGAGAGAAAAAGAAAAGAGTGGAAAGAAGGGGTAATTTATAAAATAGTAGAATGAGAAGATTATTTTTGGACGAAAAAAAGATAGAGTAGAAAAATTATTCTTAAACGGAGAGAGTATAAAATTTCGCCCTGGGTGACACACTGACACCCAAGAAGGGCACCAAAAGAATCATGTCATACTATATATGAGAATTTCACTAAATAGGACTAAAATACTCCCTCCATGGGCGGATGCAGAAGAAGCTAATGGGGGCACTTGCCCCCAGTCAATTTCTAAAACAATTAAGCAAAGCAATTTTTTTATGTATTGATTAGAAGATTGCCCCCACTCAAATTATTAAACTGCCCCCAGTCCCCAGCTTAGACTAGCAGGTTAAAATACAAAATAAAATTATAGCATTATTTTAATCTCTCTTGTTAGGCGGCAATGATGCAACTTCCACTCCACCAGGACTTCGGATAAGATTAGAATTATATTTTTCTTATATGAATAATAATCTTTCGTGCTTTTCTTTGTGTTTAAAAATTTTAGTTTATCTTCCATTGTTTTAGATTGTAGCTAGTTTAATTATTGAGCTAGAAGTTATTTTATAAATGAAATTGATAACTCAATTCTTCCAAAAAATAATAGTATTGCTGATTGTGGGTAAAATATTTTATTTTCATGATTATTCTTTTTTGCCTAAAAACAAAAGATAGAATTTGAAGCAGAAACTTTTAAGAGCTTATTATAACTATTTTGGTCTCTCAATAATTTTTTTTTTGGATTTACTCATTTTTGATGACTATTTGATAAAATAAAATTTCTTGTCTCACATTATTTTGTAAAATTTTTTATTTACTTTTCAACAGTGTAATTTAAACCTTTTATTTTTCTACCAATTTATAAATAAAATGATTGTAAATAAGATGACATATTGCATGTTGTTCAAAATACGGTGAACATTTTGAGACGGAAGGAGTAGAAACCAATTATAAAATGCACATTTTTTCACATATTAATTAGTTTTATTTTAATTTGCTTTACTTCCATTGTATGTGTGCTGGTCGTGCCCCCAGTGAATTCATTTTCTGGATCCGCCACTGACTCCCTCTGTCCCGTTTTAAATCGTCTATTTTGACTTTGAAGCATATTTAAGGAAGAAAAAAAATAGAGTTAACTTTCAAAAATTGCCATTATTTTTTAGGTGAGATAACGATGAATGAGAAGATAGAATGGAGAAGAATGACTTATTTTAAAGATAGTTTAGATAGTTTATTGTTAAAAATTTACGATAACAAGAAACAATCAACTTATTTTGAAACAAAGAAAAAAGAAAAATAAGCAATTTAAAATGGGACAGAGGGAGTAATGATTTTCTCAATATATGACCACGTGTTTTTATTTCCCAATGTAAGACAAAATATCATCACTGGACAATATTTCTCCTACTAGACATTATTAAGTATTATTTAGAGAATAAAAAAGTTTAAATCCTACATTAAAAAATGATTTATATTTTAGTCTTATTTAGTGCAAATTTCACTTATATATTCTTCACTTTGAATTTATTAATCAATCAAATTCCAATGCCCCAATTATTTACAAACGTACCGATTTATATATACTCCGTAACTAATTTTTATCTTTGTTATGGTTGACATGACACGCATAAAATGCCACAACTCCCCATATAAATAGACAAATAAATAAGAATCATGCTAGGAATCTATTGTGGGTGCCCCACAAATGACAATCATAAATGATTTACACATTATACGAGCAGATGATTATCGTCTGTATATGTATAAATCATCTGTTACTGTCATTCGTGGGGAACACCCGCAGTCAGTTCTTAGCATTTTTAATAAACACAATGACAAGAGTTACCATATGACAGAAATCTCCAGGTGCTTGGAAGATGTTATACAAATCATGATATAGTCACATCAAGTTGGACACCATGTGTTTCACCGATACGCACAAACAATCACTATCTGGCCGCACAGACCGATAATGTCTGCGTATGTCTCGAAAAAACACACGGTATCAAACTCTGGTACAATAGATTTACCTAATGCTATACACATCCCAAGGAGAAATCACATGTGCTGCACAACTTCCATGGGAGGATAGCCCTGCTTTTTTTTTTTAGCATTAGAACTACCAAATTTGGTGAGGACGCCTCCGACTCCTTCATAGTAAATTGGTAATGCACTCACTTTTCTAAACAAAGTTCTACATTATCACAAGCTTCCTATACACATATATCAAAAGCATCCTCTCTAAACAATTCATTTCAACTTTCATGGAATGCAAGAGTTTCAAGGGTGGGCGTTGTCTTCTAGTGACACCATAATATGGAGTATTATATTATGATGATGACTCAGAGTTGAAATATGCCCCCCTCCAAAGAAAAAAAAAAGGAAAAGCAGAAGTTATTCATATCTGATTGTACAAAGGCTGAATGAGAAAAGCCGTTTACCTATGCGAAGATGAAGACAGGCTTACTGGCGCACCAGAAACCACAGGTCCAGGGATGGGAGGTGTCCCATAAGCTATTTGAGCATGCGGCGGAAGATTCATAGGTGTACCGACTGCAGGAACAAGAGGCACTCCAATTGGTTGTCCAATGGTTGTTCCCCCATATATAGCAGCAACTCCAGGAGGTGGTGGAGGAGGAGCAGGAGCTATAGCCAGTTGCTTGTTGGATTTTCCGGCAGCGGCAGTTCCATTAGTGTGTCCAGTAGCAATTGGTCCTCCTTGGGGTACTACTGATGAATCTCCGCCGTTAGCATTGGTGATGTCATGAATGCTAGACCGTCTCCTATCCTTGTTCATTGAGTTTAAGCGGATGAAGTATTTCTGGGCATGGCTTGCAACTTGTGTAGGTGTTCTTGTCACAACATAGTTCCTCGAGATACTTCTCCAATCACCCTTCCCATATTTGTCTAAACCAAGAAGGAATAACCTGCTTGAAGAATAAGTTAACATGTGCTTCTTTTGTTTCGTTAAAAAAACATGAAATTATAAAATATTAAGAAGCAATTAGTATAGAGAAAGCACTACAGAGGAACAATGCAGGTCGGTTCTGAATCACACTGCAATCGTTCAAGGAATTTTACAAGGAAAAAAATTTATGGTGTTTTGGTTATAATTTATAAAGGAAAAAAAAACTAGAAAGGGATGAAAAGGTGAAGGAAATATAAATTATAAAAAAAATCATTTTCCTTCCATTTTGGCAAGGAAAAAGAGAAAATACAAAAAATCTCTCTCTTTCCTCCCGTCTCAATGATGTCTTCTTTGGTTTTCTTTTCCTATACATAGCATTTTCCTATTCCTTCATAATTCCCCGAGCCAAATAGAGCGCAAGGGACAGACAATACACTTTAGAATGAAAGTGCAAATGGTACTACCATAGCATACTTCGAAGGGGTTTATACCTCATACAACAACAAAAACAAGCCCACTATAATCCCAACTCTGTTGAGATATAGGGTTCAAGATGTAGAACCTTACCCTGTAAAAAACGGAGAGGTTGTTTTGTTAGACCCTTGATGCATTGCTGCATTTACTGCCAAACCAATATAGCGGAATTTCATTTTATTTTTTTCATATTTCAAGCCATGCAGTCATAGGTTTCACATTAACCCAATGAATTTCAGAAGTTGCTTGACCTATTGTGCTCTACATGCATAAGAGACGATTGAGGATGAGCTATCTCACATATTTCGGTTCCAATGTTTTGTGCATCTCTTTAGAAGGTATTTGGGATGAGGGAAAGTTATTGGATGGAAATAGATTCTCTTGGTTGGCATCTCAATTGACCAAGTGAGTGATCAAATATACTCCGTAATACTTTTCCTTTCGGAGAACAGTGATTCTCAAATGGGGGGAGGGCACTCTCCATTTAAGAGTGGAAGGATTCCAAGGAAAATAAATTTCAGAGAAAGGACCAAACACCTTTTAGTATCATTGCCACTTTAGTCAAACATCAGCAAGCAATAGCAACAATAACCCAGTAAAGTCTCATAACTGGGGTGTGGGGCAGGTGGCTGTACGCAAGCATTGACCCTACCTAGAGAGATAGAGATGTTTCTGAAACTCACACTTAAGAAAACATAAAAACTAATCCGATCAAATATTAAAAGATAAACAGTAAATGTAGAACTACTGAATATAGAAAGGAACGAGTAAATAACGACCCAAAATTGAAACCAATACAAACCCCTAGAATCACATAAGGGTGAAGATATCTTGAGCATAGAGGAGGTGTTTAGTGCTCTCCCTGGAATCACTTTCCCAGGGGACTCACTCTCTCATCTCCTCCATTGTCATTCACTTTCCATGAAATTAAAGAAATTTGAAGCTAATGTTGATCACATTCATCCAATCACAAAATGTTGCAGAATTACACCTCTTCTTGCTTCTATTGCAGGGTTCATTGAAGCCTAGAATGTCAAGACATTATATAACACCGGGAGGTTGGAGTTGGTTAGGGTTGTAATTCCAAGACTTCAATGCTTCGGGCTTCAGGCATTTCCTATGCAAAACATGATACTGGAGCAGGTCATTACTATTTTCAGGATTTTTCTTTGGGTGGGAAGCATTACAAATTTGCATGGGTCGACATTTGCCTCCCGAAAAATGAAGGTAGACTGGGAGTGTAAAATCTCAAATCGTGCTCTATTTGCTAAAACAATTTGGAACAATCACACCATACACAGGAAAACAACTTTCCGTAGACTTATTTTTCCTTTACCTAGCATTTTTGCCTTTTTTGGGATCGTAACATACCCAATGAGAAAGAACAGTCTCAGATAGATAAAATGAAAAGCTTTGAATTTCATTCATTTGCTCACAAAACCCCATTTGTGTCCCTTACTCAAGGTCTCAAGCCTATGCCATTTCAGTGGTCACCACTACTAAACATGGCAAATACTTGTGCTTCTACAAAAAAAGATTAACCTGTTGCAGATGAGCATTTTTTTGTTTATGGCACATATGAGAATGACAAGGATTAGCTGTTTGCATTGTGCAGGACTGCAAGTGCAGTTGAGTGCAGAAGAAATCAGAGTTCTATAAACACAGTGAGCAGAAACCCCATCAAGACAGAGAAAGGGAGAAATATCACACCTTACAGTTAAATGGAAACTGTATTCAGGCCAACACTAGAAAAACTCCAATTTACCTTTACTGAATATTTTTTCCCCTTTAACAATTATTATTCCGTAGATGGTGGCATGGTGACCTATAGTATAGGAAATAAATCTTTGAATAGTTAGACTTTAGGATACATTCTGTTTCTACATTCATTAGTTTCATTGTATGTATACTAGACCACTTAGGGGTTAAGACTTGAAAGTTTCCTTGCCAGTGTGATTCCTCTACTAAGTGTATTCACTCTCTTCTTGCATATTGATAGAACAATAATATGAGGGACTTCTTCCTCCAGAATCTTTCTTAACACGGTATCAAGAGCCTAGATGTATTTTTCTTTTTTCTGAAAAATATCCACCCACTTATGGCAGGTAATGCTAGTAGCCTAGTATTCAACCAAAGACTGCCGGTGATGGTCTTTACAGTCAGCCGGAGAACGACGAAAATTAGGGAGTTGTTCCACCTTTTTTAGGGGAGTACGATGTCAGAATATGATTTATCTGCCCGTGATAACCCTCATTTGCTAATCACTCAAAATATTCTAAAGGATGAAAAATATGAAGAATGGGAATACACAATCCGCATAACTCTGTGCGCTGCAAAGAAGTTCGGGTTCGTTGATAATATAATCCCGTTACAGCCTCTTAGGTCCTAACTCTAACGGTCTTGATGATTGGCGGACAAACAACTCCCTACCTGTGTTGTGGATCCGCAACACTACTGAACCTTCTTTGCGATCCACAATTTTCCACATGGAGATGGCTTGTGAATTGTAAAACGACATTAAATCCCAGTTTTCTGTTGTAATGGTCGACAGATACACCAATTGAAATGGGAGTTGTCCGACTGCGAACATTAAAGTATGACGATAGTTTTTTATTTTAGCAAGATAAAGAAACTCTAGAATGCTTATGCAAATTGGAAAATCTTGATGCATTACTTGACCAAAAGTGTGGCCCCGCTAAGATGTGATAATCATATTTTAACTCAGTATAAGATTTCCAAAGTCTCTTCATGTTCTACCTCCCATCACGACAAAGCAGCCGCCCCCTATGTTGTTTTCTACCTTCATGCCGCTACCAAAGTTATCCAAGTTGTTCTAACAGGCATACTAACATCGTCAAATATTTTATTTGTCCCCGAGTTCCAATCCTCTTTCGGTGTCCAATTGATAGATGAGTCAAAGTGTGTTATTTAGCTTACTGGAAAATGTTATGCGATACATGATCGTTGGGTGGCCTTTACTACCTCAGGCAGGTGGAAATGCAGACTCCATTAGCCTAAAAAAGAGAATGCTTATTTATTTTGTGGCATAAGTATCTTGGGCACCCCACAGCCAACATCCAAGGCTTTCTTCCTTTGCCCTAGGCTGGATGGGACAATCAATTTAATAACTCTCTTTGTGATGTTTGTATTTGAGCAAAACACTCTCACAAAAGTTTTCCTCTTAGTTTTAATATAAGGGTGGAATGTTTGTGTTCATACACCTTGATTTTTGGAGGCCCTCGGGGCCCGGTCACTGACTAGTGGAAAGTGTAGGCCCTTGCACATAGCCTCCAAAATTATTTGGTCCATTTCTAATGCTCAACCCTTCATGTGAGACGGCGGAATGCTGACGCCCCTCTACGGAGATGCGAGAGGATTACGGTCATCGAGGGAAGTAGGGGTAGGGGTAGACCTAAGAAGAATTGGAAGGAGGTGATTAGGCAGGATTTAGGACTTCTCGCCCTGACTGAGGATATGGCTTTAGATAGGAACCTTTGGAGAACTAGGATTAGAATAGCTGGTTAGGGCCCCGGTGCCTCAGAGGTTTTTTGTAGTGTGTTTTGTTTGGTTGGAATCCTTCGCTTTTGCTTGCAGGACTTTCATTCCATTGTACTTGGTGTTTTATCTGTGTTCTATTGTGCCCTATCATATTTTTTGTGCAGGTTGGAGCCGGGGGTCTCTTGGAAACAACCTCCCTACTTCCGAGTAGGGGCAAGGTCTGCGTACACACACCTCCCTAGACCCTACTGTAGTGGGATTCAACTGGGTTGTTGTTGTTCTAATGCTCAACCCATGCTAGGACAAATAGGAAAAAAAATGAGGATATATGTGATAAGGTGGGAGTGGCCATGTGGAGGACAAAATGCCATAGTCAAATTAAGGTGGTTGAAGGTGTGAAAGGTTGGCAATAATAAACTTGATGAGAGGCAGGGGTTGACCGAAAAAGAGTTGGGGCGAGATGATTAGACAATGATGCATGAGGTTGCAGCTCACTAGGACATGGCCTTAGATACGAAAGTCGAAAGTTTGAAGGTCGATGATTAGGGTAGTTGGTCAGCACGGTCTTTTCTTGGGTTTGGTTGCTTTTTTGGTATGTTATTCTGCCTTTCATTTGTCTTTTTTTACATATTGCTGGATCAGGGGTCTTTTTTAACAAACACTCTAACTTCCTAGGTATGGATAAGAACTGAGTACATCTAGTCTCCCCAGACCCCATTTGTGGGATTCCATTGGATTGTTGTTGTTATAAGCAATCCATTTCAAGATAAAGTTACAAAATTGATCCTGCGCAGTAATAAAGAAAGGCAAAGTTATGTGATTGAAAATTTATACAGAAGACTGAAAAAGAAAAATAGGCTGAACCACAATTTTTTTTCCCTTGAAAAGTAATTGAAACAGTACTTTGAGACCGACCAAAAAAATGTTAAATCCTTAGGATAACGTAGCATTGGAAATCATAGATATCTTCGAGCCATTACGATTTTTTCTCATATATTTTTAAGCAATTAGTCCATCTAAACTAGCTAGATCATTTATAAATCACCCCATTAGGTGTATAAGTATTTTCAATTTTATGGGGAAGAATGGTGTGGTTACGTTGACACTGGCACCGTACTACAGTGCCACTGGTGTTTTGGGGCACCTTGCGTGCTCTATATCCGAAATTGATGGTTTATACCCCCCAACCCCCCCATCTTAGCCCTCCAATCAGCGATCCGGGTGTGTGGGGGAAGGATTGTAAGAACCATCAATTTTGCAAACAGAACAACGTAGATACTAAGCCGGTGTCATCCGTTACACTCAAAATGAGTGTTAATGAAACCACATGAAGGGAAGAAACTTGTTTTTTCCTTTTTCGCAATCTATTTTACGCTACTATATTTGATGTTTTAAGTAGAACGGTAGAAATAACGTATTTTTGACACGCCATCTCATTTTATGGGATGCAATCTTATATTTATGACATCACACTATGTGATGAAACACAACAACAAAAACTAAAACAACAATAACATCGACAAAACCAGTAAAATCCCCCACCAAAAGTAGAGTCTACGAAGGGTATGTGTATCCAAAACTTACCCGTACAACCTACTCATGAGTAGAGAGGCTATTTCCGAAAGATCCTTAGCTCAAACACAATAAATATAGACAAAGTAAACATCGTAGCACAAACAAAATAAGAACACAAATGTAAGAAGCACCCGACCGACACTAGCAACCGGACCTAAAGCACAGAAAGCACACAAACGCTAGCTACAAACCAATGCTAAAAACACATCACCAAAAACTACAAATTAAGCCCCCAACGTCTACCCAACTGCTCTAACACTAGATCTCTCTGTGCTCTATCTCACAAAAATATTACTCCGTATTTATTTTTTGCATTTTTTAATTTCACATTTTGGGTTTTACATTTTTTTTAGTTAATGTTTTTATTTTAGTGCAAAAAATTATTGAATTGCACAGGGCCACAAGGGAGGATAAGGCTTTGTTGTAGTTGTTGTTGCATAGGGCCACAAGTCTAAATGAGCAAGCTTGAGACCTTATAGGACACCTAGCTTAAATGGTTCCACTTTCTTATAGGAATATTTCTCTCGAGGTGCATGAATTTAACTAACTTCATAGTTGTTTCTGGTAAGTTTTGTGTTATGGTGGAACATTAATTTAACAAAACTGCATGCATTGCGCAAAGTGGAAATGGCACTACATTTGAATGTCTAGACCCTTACTTTCTTGAACTTGGAAGTGCTCATGCATGAAACATCATGTCGTGGGATGCCTTAGCAAAATAGGTGCATAAATAAAAACACAAAGATATACTTAATGTGGCTCGTGCAGTTTCAGGGCTACTCCCCAATATAGTTTTGGGATAACTGTGTGTTATCTCCTGGGTATCTCATCAACCATAGTCTAACTTTCTAACTCCACTATAAATGAAAAGACTTTGTATGATATTTTGTATACCAAACCACCTCCCTTGGGCCACATCATAGTTTTTGGGGGCTAGTGTTACTTTAATAATCAATATCGAGATGGGGACAAATTTTCTGCACATATATAGTCACACTAGTGCTTTTTGGAGATCCCCATAAAAAAGGGTGGCATATCTATTGTCCAGAAGCAAGAAAAGTGTTAGAAATACGGCTCAAACGTAAATGGGTGAATAAATTGTGTGAATGTTTTACCAATTTTCGCAACATGTGTGAATAAATAAAAAAACAATTGAGTATGCAGCGGAAATAAATAAGTAAAGAGAAGGCAAAAATAACACCAATATCTACTGGCTCACCACCTCGTGGTTAATCTAGCCCCCAAGTGACTCACTTGCAATTTCCATTACCTTTCAAGCTTGAAACAGGTGCTTGAATCCCTCAAAAAAAATAGGTGCTTGAAAAAACTGATTACAACCTGAGAATTTGAGTCACACAAGCCTCACAACAACCGTTCGGAGATACCTCACTCCAAGACTTTACACCACTCGTATATGCCTCACTACAAGACATAAATTACCCCTCCATGGCTTAGCAGTAAAAAGAATGATCTTCTTAAACACTTAATAATAAGCTCTCTAAAGAGTAAGAATGAGTGCAATGAAAGCTCTATGGAAGATGGAAAATATTCAATCAAGAAAACAACTATATAAAAAAACACAAGCTCAAATTAAGCCAGTAAGTGATTTAAACGTTGGAGAATGTGGGCATATTGTGATATTGTGAGTGAATTCTTGTCTAAAGTGTGTGTTTTGATAGGGTATTTAGGGGTGCAAAAGATGGGAAAAGTGAGTTTTGGGCTAGAAAACACTTTGTAATCGATAACACGAAAGCCATAATTGATTGCGCATATTGACAGTTTCAGCCTAAGTAAAATGGCCATATCTCTCTCATTTTAAATCGGAACTGAGTGATTCCATTATTCCAAAATTAATGTTTTCCGTTGAAAATGGGTTAAAACCTTTATGTTGTGAGTTTTTCCCAATTTCAAAGGGAATAGGTCAATAGGTTCAAAAATTGCTCCAAAGAGAGGAGGTTGGCTAAAAATACGAGTTTGGAAACATGGAGGCCGGAGCTAAAGCATAGCACCGTAATTGATTACAGGCACACCGTAATCAATTACACAAAGTACACAACTCAAATTTTGGTAGGAAAACACTTCATAATCGATTACCCAATGGCCGTAATTGATTATCAGGCACCAAAAGTCCAATACCCAAAATTATAAATGTTGGAAACATAATGATTAAGCCTACAAAGGCTAGGGGAACAAGTGGGCATTGTAAACCAAGCTACAAATTGACCCATGGGGGTATAAATATTCAAAATTTGAGATTCAAAAACGTAGCTGGAACTTTTGTGTCAAAAGATGTTCAGAATATTTTGAGTAAAATATTTTTTGAATGAAATATATTTGTGTATATGATAATAAATGTGTTTATGCACGGAGATTTGGAGAAGGAAAATTACTTTGGCCTCATTTAGAGGGCCTTGCTAGTGGATTGCTGAGATCATTTCACAGTCTAAAACATGCTCCTTGTCCGTGGTTTGCCAAAGTGACTAAAGCATTCAAACCATATACTTTTACTCAGAGTTTCCTAGCGTATGGGCTCAGCAAACAGTATCACAAGAGATTTCTGCCCTCCGGAATCTTTCCTAACATATAGCCTTAATTCTCTATTTTTATTGCTAGTGTTAGTGGGATTCAACTGGGTTGTTGTTGTTGTTGTTTTTATTGCTAGGGTGCACCATTAAATTTTAGCTAAATGACAGCAATCCTATGTTTAAAAAAGAAGGTAAAAGAATACATATAGACTATGGTATTAGAACCATACAATAAATGGAAGAAAGACTACAAACCTGTGCTCCTCTTCTGTCCAGGGAATCCCCTTCCGACGCTCCTGATCTGCCCTAATAGACTTTCCATGATTCGAATCACAGTTGGAGTTCCCACCTTTCTTGCTAGTTCCTTCATCACCATCACGGCCCAAGGTGTTGTCCGAGGTAGAAGAATTGTAGCAGGGGAGCGGAACACGGCCGGAGTCGATCCTGCTAACATCCTCGGTTAAGATCTCATAGTGAACCTTAATCTCCTCTAATGACTTCCCGGGAACATCTGCGGCAATCCTCTCCCATCTGTCGGAAGAATCCTCCGGGTAGGTTGCTAGGGCATTCTCGAATGCTACGTCTTGCTCCCTGCTCCAGACACAGCTGCTTGATTCATCCGCGGTCATGGCCTTTCCGAGGTATCAAATCCTAGTTCCCAGAAAATATACAGTGCAAAATTGGCTTAGAGCAACGCATCGGCCATGGATGATGATGAATATGCAAGGAAATCTCAAACGCAATCCAGATCTAACTCAATCCAGATGAAATACAGTAGTTCAGTAAGTAAACAACAGTCCAAAAATGGAAGTGTTGCACGGAGTAATGTGCTCTCTTTTATAGAAGAACTAATATAATGAATGTTTTTTTACTCTTTATTTTTTTTGCGTAGTTAATGATTAAAAAATTGAGGAAAAATATAATATCGCCCTTTAGAATTTAACAAATGACATACCATAAAAATTTTCTAATCAAATTCATCTATTTACAAAATTACAAATCTAAATAAACATATAAATATATAATTTAATAAATCTAAATCTTTTGAAAAACTTTGGGGTTCACCATCTGACTTAGATATGATAGAAAAATTTATTCCCTCAAGACACATGAGGATACTAGTGTTCATTATGTAGATCATTCCCCTCTAACCTTGGAGTGAGCTTCAGCACTCTAGTGTAATAGTAAAATTTAATTCACTACAAAAAAACCACTTTTGGGAAAGATGTAAAAAAATTGAAATGTGAGATGTAAAAAAATCAAGAAATGCTCAACATTTTTAATTTTCTGGAGATTCTTACATATCAATATAAGCTTATGCTGCTTCTTGTCTGCCGCAAACTTCTTGAAACCTTGTTACAACGACCTAACACAAACAACACACACAAAGTTTATATTAAAAAACTAATCTAGTGTTAGAAGGAAAGTCAGTTAAGATAGTTTCTCTTCTCTTTGTCTTCTTGAGCAAATACTTTAACTTCTTTAACCATCCTATCTACCTCATTAGTGAGAAATTTGACAGAGTGCAATGCCTTATTTTTTCCCACTCTCCTTTTCAACAAAGTGACAGCAAGAACTAATAAGCATGACATGAATGATGGTCAAATTGTTGTTAAGCACTTCGTGATCACAATGCTAAACATTGTCATGGTAAGCATATTATGCTCAAAAAGCATAAAATAACTCTGGTAAGAGCATTTCCAAGGGATAAATCACATTCTAAAAAATAGACACATTAAATGATATTGTAGAAAAAATATGTTCGAGCGAGACTTTTATTTTATAGAGGAGCGTTCATATTTGATTGCAAATCCTCTACATATAGAAAGAATTATTTCTCCCATAGTTCTACCTAGACGTTTAACACTCAAAGACTCAGTTCATATGCAATAAATTGAAAATGGGAAAAAATTCTTATGGGAGCAACTCATTATAAAAAAATGAAAACTGCTTAGTGACTCAAAATAGTAATAAAATGTTCAGCTAATAAGGGAAGTTTAATTACTGTTATGGTGTAAAACGTGATATCTTGAAGAAAAATATTCCTTTAAGAACAAAAAACCAATCTAAGAAAGTATTATGAAATGAGTTTGTGAATAGTCTGAGTGCAAAGGCCTCAAATAACCTATATTTATACTTTATACAATTGAAACTCATTCATGTGCCTAAGGTTCCAAATTTTGAATAAATGGAATCGCTTTTAAGTGAATCTTTTTTTTACATACCAATCGTCTTTGTTTGACTTCATGGAATTTAAAAACGTGTTGAAACGTGAAAAGTGAATTGTTGAAATGTGTTTAAAAGAAAAGAAAAGATTATGGACCACATATTCTTAATTTATTAGGAAAGGAAGCGTGGCAATTATTTTGGAACAGGCTAAAAAAGATAGTGCGCGTGAGACGATTGATTCGGGACGTAGGGCGAGTAGAAGATTCAGACTAACACTTTTAATAACCTCTCGGGATGGTCTCTTTGCATTGTCTTACGCACCGTTCTCTGTTGTATATTCAGTGCATAGGTCGGTTCCAATGAAAATGAGAAGCTTCCCATTAATATTAAACTGAAAAAGAGGTGGAATGAACCTTCACCTTTAGCTTCAAACCTAATACATCCAAACAAATAATAATAATAATAAATCTAACACTATCATGTGTTCCCTGCTTTGAAAGATCCCGAGTCAATAAACCAAGCATTGATATCACTGCTGACCTGATTTGAGCAACCCAATCAAACTAAGATCCCAATCTCGCATGCTAGTGATAAAGGCCTAAAGTCCTCAACTTTGTAAATGTAACCATCAATTTCTGGATCCATAATCACCTTGTTTGTCACATAATTATTAAAGTTGCACTGGTAGCACTACCATTGTTGTATGTGCTTGGAGATTTTTTAGATCCTTTCAGCTAAAACCCTATAATGTCCATGCATAAGATCCAAATATGTTAAGTATTCTAAAGCTCAATTAATCTTGGGATTGCACGACCATCTTAATACAATAATAAGAAAACACCCCTATTAACCTAACTATCACAAAGAGAAATTAATATCTTACATTTCCCCATAACAATTGCGAACCGCCCAAGTACTACCCTCTCGGTGGGACAATTGACTTGTGCCAAAAAATATCATGTGGATGAAGAAAAATGAAAAATAACTGACCTTAACATGCCACATAGTAATCGTGCAAGCCCCTCATTTGCAGTCAAACAATCCAGCAACACTGGAAAAAATAAAGGAAGAAGAAGAACAAATGATACACATGAAAAGGGGGAAAATTGCCAAAAGGAATAAATGCGATTAATTAGGAAAAAGTAAAGATAAATTGGACTCTTCGTTGCAGGGAATGAAGGAAATATGTAAGCTATCTAAAACAAAAGAAGAAGAAGAAAACCTAAAGCAACCTAGAAAAAAGAAACCAAACTTAAAGCAAAACAAAATCAGCATACTATTGCCCAAAGAGACTTGAGGTCCCACCTCTTTTTTGCAGCGATGCCAAAACAAAATCTAAAATAGTATAATCTAGTTTCTATCTTTAAATCTTATCCAAAGACGTGATCTTTTATCTCCCTTGCTGTTGCTCTTAGTAATTCCGGCCAAAACATATGTCCTAGATATTAAAATCGTGACAAAAAGCTCTCAAATATGTTCTTCTAAAATAGCACTAAAACCTGAAATAGATATCACTGTAGGTATATAAGATGAATAAAGTTCTAGAAAGAAAAGTATACATGAGAGGATGAAGAACGACATATCAATTTCTACGAACGGGAGTTTACCTGAACAAAGCATCCATATATATCAAACAATATCTCTTTGATAGCAATAACTGTTTCTTAGCCCATAAGATTCTAAGTTGTTCTTCACCTAATAAGTGGGAAAATCAAAGATAAAATGAATCAGAGGAAACAATAATTATATCAGAAAATCTTCCCATCTCAACATATTAATGACCTTATTTGAGCTAGTGAAACCAAAAAAGGACTTTCTACATAAATTATATGAGTTTAAAAAATATCATCCAAGTTTCAATTCCATAATAGGTATAGTATAATTTTAAAAATATCAAATGGATTATATGGTGGATTATAGACTTCGGCCTACATGTTTGTCCATGAACACCATCTTAATAGAATTCCAAGTCTTCTCATCACTATATACAGGTAGGGTATATAGTCTTATTACATGAACCATGATCCTCCATAACTCTTTGGTCGGTGTGATTTTTTACAAAGAATGAATAGTCTTCGACATGATAACCGTAAAAAGAGTTCTGGATCCGTAGCGAAAAAAATTGCGTGAGAGGGGGGGTGTTGGGTTATTCATGAAGAAAATTTTTATATAGGCAGAATATTACTGTGGAAATCAAATAATTGGCGAAATAGGGTATGTAATTAGGCATATTATGATTCTAATTAAGGAATCAAATTTACGAATTGAAAAGAAAATGTTTGCGAATTGAAAGGAAAACCATTTAATTTGTTATTTGGCAACCTGCATGCATTTGGTCTTCAAAAGGCATTGAAGGGACACTTGCTGCTCTGAATGCTTTATCTGTTTTCAAAGCTTCAAAAAGAGAAGCCCAAAAAAAAAGAAACACATTTAAGATTAGCTCTTCACGTCTTGACTATTGAAAGATAAATACACAGGGAGAACTTTTAGGAAAAATCAGAAACATGACTCTTTACTTTGAAAAACGTGTCAAAAAAATAACTGACCCAGAAAACCTCGAGATGGACAGTCCAAATTACTAATACCTTGAAAAGTTTTCACTTTTTCATACTGAATGACAATCATAGAGTGTTCCAATAGTTGGTTACTTGGTCTTGAATGAAGCGTTTCACCATGTCAACATACTCCCAAATAGAGTGACATCAAATATCATATTGAATTGTCAAATTTTAAAAAACAAATACCAAAAATAAAGATTACCAATTTGTGGAAGTCGATTAACCTCAATTGTGAATGGTTCACAATGAAGGTAACCAAATTTTTTTTCTTGAAGAAACATATTTGAATTTTCATAACATACAAATAAGAAACACAGAAATTGAGAAGAATACAAAGAGTAACTATAAAGTTTCATATGATTTTAGGAAACAAACCATTTTCAAATGGATCTTGTCAATATTTTGCTGATCCGATCTCCCATTGCTCAATATTTACCATATATAAAGCTAACCAAATTTTAAAAAAGAACCTCAGCAAATATACATCCAATGCTCCATATATCGATTTTAGAAGTATACTATATAAATTCCATAAGGCACTAGAAATATCAAATTTATGTGCATCATTTTATATATTCATCTAATGTATAGATCAATAAGAAAAAGAAAACTAGAAAAAATAAGTGAAATTTGCACTAAATAGGACTAAAACATAAGTCATTTCCCAATGTAGGACTTAAACTTTTTTATTACCTAAATAAGACTTAATAATGTCTAGTGGGAGAAATAATGTCTAGTGATGGTGAACATTTACTTGAATAATGTCCAATGGTCCTACATTGGGAAATAAAAACATATGGTGTTATATTGAGAAAATAATTATGTTTTAGTCCTATTAAGATAAATTTCTTAAAAAATAATCCACAAGATGCACTCATGCACCCGTATCCCATCCTTAAAGGTGTTGCCAACAATTACTAAAACGTTGAATGCAAATTTTAGTGTGCAAGGAAACAATAAGAAAATCATAGCATCCCTAGTATGAATATAAGATAAAAAATCATACTCCCTCCGTCCCTGAGTGTTTGTCCACTTTCATTTTTGCACACCATCCAATGCACTTCTTTAATCCATTTTATCTTGTAATTTGTATTTAAAAAAATTATAAAAATTATATATTAATAATCTATATGTTAAGACGAATCAAACAAGATCACACATGACTATTTTTTGGTTTACACATTGAGAGAATTTGATGAGTCAAAGTGCTTAGATGAACAGTTCCAAAAGTCAAAAGTGGACAAACACTCGGGGACGGACCAAGTATTAAACATTTTCAAAACTATACCTTGGAGAAACATGAATCGCACAATTGTGGAGCTCCATCTTGAACCTCGAATCTCAATTTTGAATCTAAATTTTGGTATTTTCAATCTTAATTAAGAGGGAAGATCGGCCTAAGAGATATGGTATCCTCGAGAGTTTCCATCGGTGAAGAAGAGACGATGTAACTGAATGAAATTTAAGAGTTTCCTTAGGTGGAGAAGACACGGCGTAATTTTTGATAGTTTCCTATAGTGAAGAGTAAAAGGAAAATTTCCGATTGTTTCTGTTTCCTTGATGTAAGTTTGCTTTTAATTAATTTTTGTGAGGAGGGGACACGTGGCTGATACGAATATCGTATCAGATAGGGAAGAACTTCGAGCATTCTTCAAGCTCTAAGAATATGAGGTAGAGAAAAATGGAAAACTTCGAGCGTTTCCGAACTCCGAGAGAATAGAGAAGGATATTAGAGTTTTGATATTTCTTTATTGATTTCATAATAGCGGGGAAGGATTACAATATATTGAGAGTAAAGCTATTCTAGTTGACCTAATGGGCTCGGGCCCGTACTAAACCCTAATCTATAGAATATTAATAAATAATAAATAATACTATTTAATAAATAATATAACTAATCTATTATCATATCATTCCCACCCCCTTAAAAATCCACCTTGTCCTCAAGGTGGAGGCTCCCACTCGTGCTTTAGGACTGGAGAAAGAATGTTGAACCATAGGAGCAGTCCATCCTTTGAATCTTCAACCATCTTGCCTCTTGCAGCAAAGTGATGGAAAGATGAGACGATGCGCATAACAAATGTAGTTGCTCTCAGTGAAACCAGGTGCTCCGACTTGACCACATCTACAAGATCAAACAACTTGATGGTGTCAATCAAAATAGGTAAGTGTGCTTGTTTACCATCTGCATCTGTCACTTTGTCAACACTTTTTGGAATATCATACTCTGCTATGACCACAACAGCTGAGGTATAAAAGTCTTGAAAAGCAGGCTCTGGCTTGTCGACATTGGCAACATCTGCAAGAGGACTTTCATTTTTTTCCACAGCGTTGGACCTCCCGTTATTTTTGTTTATGGCTTTAGGTCCGATGTCCACTTCATCTCCAACTTGTGAGTCAACGCTTGATTTCTCCTTGGATGTGTGATCCTGTGCTTCAGCGTTTTGCTCAATTACTATAGAGACCGGATTTGGCAAAGAAGGCGGACTATCAATAAGGACTTTTATAGCGCCCAACATGTCTGTTCTAAAGTGTTGTAATTCCCAAGGAATCAAACTCGGCAAAATTGGGGTCCCACGGACCAAATCCTGTATCGCGCAAGAGATTTCAATGTCAAATGCGTGTAAGTCAGAATCATAATTTTGCTTACCTCCAATAGAACGGAAGGATTGAAGATTCTTTATAAGTTCATCTATTTGATCGTAAAGTGTGCACACTCCGTCGGCGTGCTCAATTTCGCCATAAAGAACGTTCTCTAATAGAGCAATAAGTTTGTCCAATGCATGGGTACACACGATCAAAATCTCTAACCGCTTGAATTGAGCCTCCATTCGGAAAGAAAAATCGGACTGCATTTTTTTCTTGGAGTGTGGTGCAAATTGATCTGATGGCTGCCACAAACAAATTATAGTGGATCTCTCCAATTACTCTCTCTAATTGAGTGGCGGCCCTGTTGACAAAGGAATTGGCGGCTACACAATTTGGAACATTTCTTGTTTAAAGTGGTCGAAGTTAAAAAATAAAGGAGACTAGAACGCCGAAGAACTAGAACGCCGTGAAAAAGAAGAAAAAAAGTTACTGAAACCTACCGTCACTACTTAACGACGTTGAGAAGATCAACAAGGTACGTTTTTTCATCGCCGTGTTAACGTCTTTTGCTATTCGCAAAAATCAAATGGAATCTGTGGAAGTTATTTTTTTTGTTGTATATTTTTGGAATTCTCTCAACGAGAGCACCAATTGATACGAATACCGTATCGGATAGGGAAGAACTTCGAGCGTTCTTCAAGCTCCAAGAATATGAGATAGAGAAAGATGGAAAACTTCGAACGTTTCCGAACTCCGAGAGAATAGAGAAGGATATTAGAGTTTTGATATTTCTTTATTGATTTCATAATAGCGGGGAAGGATTACAATATATAGAGAGTAAAGCTATTCTAGTTGACCTAATGGGCTCGGGCCCGTACTAAACCCTAATCTATAGAATGTTAATAAATAATAAATAATACTATTTAATAAATAATATAACTAATCTATTATCATATCAGTGGCAGTCTTAAGCAATGCCAAATGGTAGCTTCTTAGAGTATAAATTCTCAAGTTTATATATATAAGATAAGATAAGATAAGATAAGATAAGATAAGATAAGATAAGATAAGATAAGATAAGATAATTAAGATAAGATATAAGATTTATGGAAAAGGGAAGAAAAAGATTGGAACTATGAGAATGCCCTCCTAGATCTAACACAGATTTGCGTGAGGTGCGTTCACTCTACTCATGTGAAACGAGGGGAAATGACAGAAAGGCCCTTCTAACCAAGAAACAAAATGTTAGTGTTTATGATCGTTACTTTAAAAATTTAACGGAAATATTAAAATTAACGACCATCCGCTAGGTTACCTTCGAAGCGTCACGATGATTTTCGGAAAGGCCAAACAGTATTGTTTGAAGCGCCAACCACTCCTTAACCCCCCCGACCAGTATTCGAAAAAGATACGCCTTCTCCAATCGAAACTGTTCTGCTCTTTGTTCTCCTTTGCATATCATCATCGGATACCTTCAATTACTACCACATACTCCCTCCGTCCACAAATAAACTTTATGTTCACTATTCACAAGGTCAAACTTTATTCACTTTGTTGGCCTATTTTCGTCACCCATTTGATAAAATAATATAGTCATGTCACCTCTAGTTTTGTAGATCTTTTTGTTAGAATAATAGACCAATGCTAGAGGGGGGGGGTGAATAGCGTTTGATCGAGAAATCGCATGAAAAAAATTCAAAGGAGAAGTAAAGAGAAGAGTAAGAGGCACACGGAATTTACCTTGGTTCACCACAACTTGTGGCTAATCCAGCCTCCCGAGAGACTCTCTCGAGCTACACTACTATCCCGTTAAGCTTAACGGTGCTTAACAAACCCTTACAACTTGAGAATTCGAGTCACACGAACCTCAACGAATCCTTCAAAGGAAACAACCCTTCCTTTGAATCACACGAGAGAAATACTTTCTCTCAACGTGTCTAAGAACACAAATACACTCAAGAACGAGACTCTCTTTTAGAGTAGATATTAAGTAAACTAAGTACGCTCAAGAACAACTCAACCTTCACACAAATTGGCTCTAAAAATCTATGGAAAAAGATGGTGTTTGAATGCAATGTAAATAGAAGAATTTTGAAGTGAATTGATGAAAAAAGCATACCCAAACACCGCTTTTTATAGTGCCAAAATAGGCTCTAACGGACCAATACATTAAAGGGGTGATTGGCTTAATTTTGGGATTGAATAAGTTTGGGATCTGCAGGATATTGGCTTCCCATCGATGTTTGGACTTACCCATCGCTGGTAGGCCAATTTTCCTTCAGTTTTGAAGCCAACAGTCACCTACCCATCGATGGGTACAAGCTTCCCATCGCTGGGTGGGAGGTTGACTTCCAAACAAGGAAAGAATCAACCTTAAATGACTTCCAACGGTCATGCCTTCCCATCGATGGTTTAGCCTTCCCATCGCTAGGTTCCCATCGATGGGGTAAAGTCCCCATCACTGGGTAAGGTCGTTCTGCCTTGTGTTGATGTTGGACCAAGGCTTTAACAGCGATGGGTAGAACTTCCCATGGCTGTTTGGCATGGTTCTGGAAGTTGGTTTGGCTAAAGGACCGCTTACCCATCGATGGGTAGTTCTTCCCATCACTGGGTGGGTGGTTAGTCAAAAACCCATGGTTTTTGCCTGAACCACGGCCTAGCCAACCGATGCAAAAAACCAACCGAAAAATCTAAAGTTCTCCAAAATAAAAACCAAGTGTTTAGAAAACTTATTTGATGTATTTGGCTAAGAAATCAAGTGAGACACTTTAAAAACCACGTCATTTGAGTAAAAACCACGGCTAGCCAAGTTTATGCCGTTTTGCGTGGTTTTTGCCAAACGACCAAAAACGAAAGGTGGCTTTCAAAGTTTTTTTGTTGGAAAACTGTTTAAACATGCCAAGAAGTAAAAACCAATCATAAAATGTTGAAAACCACTTGGTTGGTTTGGACGCCAAAAACCAACGCCGATAACCGAAAGCCGAACGCCGGTTTCTGAAAGCCGAACGCCGGATTGCTTGGTTTTTGGTTTGGGCAAACACCAAGTGTTTTTAATGTTTTAAACATGTTTGAATAACATTTTTATGATGTAAGAAATGCCATGAAAATAATTTTAGCCTAAAGAGCCTAGGTGTAAAGATTGGGTCGGTCTTGATCACAAGTGAGACCGACTCAACGACACTAAGACTACGGTCTTCGTTCTTGGTCTTCGTTTATATCTTGTTCTTATCTTCGTTCTTCGCCTTGTATATTCAATGTCTTATCTTGATCACGGCGGTTTGGCATTATCAAAATCTGTCATAAAAACGAACACGGCTTTAGTACGACAACGTGACAAACCCGTGTTTCAACACTTTTGATATAGTTTTTTAATATGTAATTTTATTTTTCAATTCTACACCATTTTTCATATAAAATGATTTGAAAATAACTTCAAACATCGTAACGCACAATGTAAAGTTTATTTGTGGACGGAGGGAGTATTTGTCTGCTATGGAGAACACCGGAGCAAGTTGCGGGTTCTAGTACAAGAGAAGAATAACTCTCACCCAAACACGAAGGGAGGAGTTGGAGAATGCAAACCAGGTATTTTTAGATAATCATCACTTAAAATTAACTAATTTTTGTTTTATTTTGAACTATTTAGGCTTGGTGTCAGATATCTGCTAATGTAACTCCATCTATGGAAGGTGAATCATTCCTGGAGGATTCAGAAATTGAGGTGCATTGCATATACACTAAAATATAATATTTTAAGTTTATTTTGTTTGAGTTTGAAAAATTCGAAAGAAGAAAAAATTATTCGACCATGAAAATTATCAATATAATGTTATAGTAATAGGTTATAGTCGAATGCAGTCGAATCTATTTTTTGATTAGTTCTCGTTTTTATTCTAGGTTCCAGCATTGGATTACACCATTGAAATGGAGAAATTACCTAGAATGAAGTTAACTCTGAAATCTTCTTTGGGGGAGTTCCAGAATCTGATGAGTGATGTACTTGGAGATCATCGAGAAGTCCTTACTTTGTTTAGGGAGAATACCCCTTTTCTCATTTTTTGGATGTTGAGTGTATTCCTCCCCCTCTGTTCCCATGGCAACTCATTGTGAGGGAAGCTAAAATAAAGAGGCAAGGAGAGATGTGATTTGTTATCAAAGGAGTTCTTGTCAGGTACTCCTTGAGGGAGTTTTCACTCATAAGCGGCCTGAACTGCTCTCAGCTTAACGACGGCTTTGAAAATTCAAAGGAATTAACCTCTTCCAAGAATGATTTCATTCGAGCTCACTTTCCTTGTGCAAAGAAGGGAAAGAAATTTGATGCAGTCACATACAAGATGGTTGTGCAGCGTTTCTTGGACATGTGTAAAGGCTTGGACGTGGAAAAGAAGAATGAATGCCAAGAGATGGAGGCTGTGAAAATGGCCACACTTTTGTTTGTTATTGTTGTTTTCTTGGGTCCTACTGATCGCAACAAGTCTACAGTTCCGAATTGGATTCTAGGCATGATTGGACAGTGGACAGCAGTTTTAGATTTCCCATGGGGAACCTGGCATTTATGGAGTTCTTGGGGTCACTGAAGAAAGACCTAGATGTTAAGGTCAAATCAATTGGAAGTGGGGCCTCATCAAACATGTACTATACTGGTTTCCTACTTCCCATTGGGGTAAGGATTTTTTCAATTATAATTTTTCTAATAATTGTTCTTGAAATGTGATCTCATTCAAACTTTCAATATGAAAAGATCCTTTTTCTGGAGAGTTGCTTGGGGATTGGAATAAATATTACAACAAGAAGGCAACAAACATCCCTAGGTAGACCAAGAATCTGCCTTTGGGGGGAAATTCCAATAAAGAAGAAAATCACCCACACAGAAATGGATGCTTACGTTGGGGACCTGCAGGTATATACATATTATTGGTCAATAAAGATTAAAAATTTAAGGAATTCCCAAAATAAAGTGTCATTGTTTTGGTTGCAGGCTCTACAGAGTATTTTTGTTCCCAACAAGTTTGAGGCTAAAAATAATATCGAAAAAATCTTTGTTTTGGTTGCAGGCTCTACAGAGAATTCTTGTTCCCGACACTTTTCAAGGGCAACATGAAAGCATCATTTATTTTATCGGAAAAATCTTTTTGTCCAAATAAAAAGTAATTTGTAAAGTTTTCATTTCTATTTAATAAAATAGTCCAAAATAACATCTAAAATAAATGAAAGTTTAATATTAATTTAATAGCTTGACTCTCATTCTTTTTTATTAATAATAATATCGTCAAATAAAAAAATATTTATTGATTTCAAATATCACATAACTTCTAGACTAATTTTCAGAACGTTACAAGCTCAATGAAGTATTTGAATGCTTGCAGTGTTTTGTAAAAAGTTCTGGAAGTTACGTTAAGTATGCAAATACTAATTTTAGTATTCGAATACCTTAGTTTTTTTGTCTAGCTTTTCGAAGTCGTTCACAAAAACTATTGAAACATGCATTAATATATTTGGAGAAACTTTAGTCACAAAGTAAATGGCTACAAAATTCACCAACTTATTATTTGTGAACTTCATTAAGAACACAAAATAATTTTAAATAATTAAAAAATGAAAATTTATATTCACATATGGAAATTTTGTGAATTTTCTGACCATCTAGTTTATGACTTGGGGTGAGCGTGGTACGGTATGGTATGGTATTTAGCTCGTACCGATACCGTACCAAATATTTCTGTTCAGTATGGGATTTTACGTTGTACCGATCCCAAAGCATCGGATCGATATGGTTCGGTATCGGTTTCTGTACGAATCGGGATGAATATATACGTACCTAGTTTACATCATAAAATATAACAAAAACTTTTATTTTTGAAAAATTGAAAGTACATTTAACCAACGAAAGATAAAAAAATTAAAAATGAAAATATAAAATACAAGAAATGCTTATGAAAGTTAGTTCATATTTTACAAATTAAAGAGAACGAGTGATAAAAAAGTATTATTTCAAATATTTGTTAATATTTGATGCAGTAGCAGGTGACTCAGACGAGGCTGAATTGTCGGATCCGACTAACCTGGTGCTTCTCTACCATGAAAGGCGAGATAAGCTCAAGGGGAGTAGGAAAGCGAAGCGTTTCGGGCCACCACACTATTTAATTTGGGCCATAACTTTGGCTACGAGAGTTCGATTTCAGCGGGCTACCCCATTCAGGAAAGGTCTCGATGAGACGCTGCTGTTTAGCCCATTATTTTTACACTTTTATATTTTTGGGCATTTGTTTCTGTCGTTTTAGGGTTTCCTACTTTGCTTACAGTTATTCAGCTATTTAAGCTCGGCTTATGGGCAGTTTTTATTAGACTTGATTATATTTTTTTTGTATGAATAAACCCTAGAGAGGACTTTCTCCCCTAGCGTTTCCCTTTCGATATCGATTGTTCTGTTCTTCGTCATACGTCGAATTTAATTCAGCGTCAATATTCTTATACTCATCTTCAAAAAATAAAAAACTATTAATAATAAAGTTCAACTTAAACATAATGAAATTAAACTAAATTGTCATTATAAATTTTTTGGGCAATGCTAGGGGTACACCAACATGGGGTATCC